TGATGAGCAATTGTGCACCTTCCCCTTGCTGCCATCATATCTTCGTTCCCACATTTGCAGTTTTAGATCACCGAAACAAGTATCTTTACAAGCTGGGGCAAGTCCAGATTCTGCTGTTGGAGCACGCAATGTTGTACCAGAATCCTCTGTTGTTGCCTCTAATTCAATCTGCTCATTACCAACACCAATTTTTTGGTGACTACAAATGTTTTACTAATACTAACTAAAAGGCTAGAACCAACGTGAACCTTCTGATATTCCAAAAGAATTCAAGAGCACAGACCACTTAGCACAACTAAATAGATTTCATTTCCAGAAGTATCAGATGTAACTCTTTACTACTATCACAAAGGAGGGAGGGGCAAGACGAAAGAGATGTTCATTTACCTTGTGCGTTTCATTCTCTGCAGCAATGGACCAGTAACCCCAAGGAGAAATTTCCCAACTAACATCACCATTCCATGGTACAAATTCATAAAACTTTCCACCATAGTGAACTCCAATCTGCATAAAAAAATGCATGAGCATGTATTAAGGAAAAAAAATGCAGGTACTATTTGTTTGCAATAAAGAGCATGGTTTGCTCTAACCCTAACTGGAAATTACACATATTTACAGAACTCTCAACAGGACAAGTACCAATGCAGCGTTTTCAAAAGTCTCTGTTAATCCAGGTAGTTGCCTCAATCCACCACCTGCAGTGAGTGCAACTTCTCCACTAGCGCCTTCAAAAACATTACACTGAACCTGCAGTATGTGTTCCAGATAAAGCAATGAAAGAAGAATAATAATACTGTAAATATACCAAGCATCCCCACAAGGCTCCACCAATGAACTATAATTTAAAAAGCATTGTACGATTTGGCTAATGAAGAAGCAGGCCCTGCTCTTCAGGCTTCTTCAATTGTTTGGCTAGCACGCACCATTGATGTTAATTTAAATCTTCCAGTTGTAATTTTCAAATACAACTCGAAGGCTTTTTCTTAAATTTATTAATTATATATAAATAAATAAAAACTATGATTCTGGCTCATCTTTGTTCATCGTGGGTCAATGATCTTGATTATCTGTTCCCTTTCCAGAAAGGGAAAATGGTTGAAGCTCACATGCCAAATAAATAATACAATGAAGAATGAGCTTAACCTTTACCATATAAGATATTGATGAATGGATAAAAGCCTACCCAGAACCATTTTCTTGGGAATGCTCCACCCCAATTCTTTTCAGAATAAGAAGGGGCATTTCGAAACTCAAATCTTTCACCACCCCACTCTATCCAACCTGAGATTTCAACTGAACCTTAGACAATGGCTAGAAAAAATGCATGCAGGTTTCTAAAAAGAGCACATTTTGGAGCATAGAATATTCGAAAGAAAAAAGCACATGATTGTCCAAACATTGAATAACCAAATGGTATTTTCCACAGGATGATGACTTATAACCAACACAGCTAACATGCACAGGATAAAGCTGAACCAGAGTATTTAGATGCAATTAGTGAAAGTGGACATCATATGTGTGCAAAGGGTTCTCCGTCTCTATAACAGTAAGGTCAGTTATAGAACTTTTTTTGTGACAAACCATATGAGGATTCCAGTTCTACATTTATTTATAGCTTAGAAGTTCTTAACTCATTACAATTTAACAGTGTTTCTAATTTTTGTAAAAATCTTATGCAAAACTTATTTTACTTATATTTGATTAAATCTCTTGGAAATTTCAAGTATAACAAGTATTCAGTTCGTTTATGATTGACTTCTATTTCATAATCTATTAATAAATTCACACCCCTCTGCCTATCTGCACTGTTTCACATAACTATTACAGTTGGCAGTGCAACATGCCAAGATGCATTCCATTTCATCTACAAAGAGAAATATTACTATCAGAGTGTACATCGAAAATACTATTCCAGATTTCTCTCCACAGTTCGCTCTTCTAAATAAATTTTCAATTGCAAGTTTCTAGATTTTAAGAATTAAAACCTAAAAGAAGAATCGATATAACTTAGCAAGAAAAGAACATCTGCAAAACTAACAAGGCATCAATAGAAAATTGCAGGAATTATTAGCAAGAAGGTGGGGAGATAAGCAAATGCCTGTTGACAATCCACCAGCCAGGCATATTTGCCAATGGGGTTCAAATACAGGAAAAGCTGCTAACCATCCTGCAGTAGACTTCTGCTTAGATCCAACATCACCCCAGCCATAAACTGGGCGGGTACTGTATTCCCAACGAGCAGTTGGCACAGTTTCCACATAATCTGACCTGACATTAGAACAAAATTGTACCTCAAAGTACTAAACTACGGGGCCCACAAACTCATATTTCTATAGGTAAAATTTGATAAACAAAAGGAAACTCATGCCTGCCATCATCACGAATGGAACCTTGGTGCCATAGTGGGGTGACTTGAAAACCTTCCATCACTCTCCTATCGAATTCCTGTACAGTATAACATATACACAGAAAAAATTAAAAATAAAGTTAAAAAATTTATGTTGCCACCTAGTAAAATCCTCACACATAAATAAGATACCCTCCCTACACTGCAGTGCTACAATCTTAGCAGGGAAAAAGTATTTAATCAGAAACCAAATGGCCATGTCAAAATAACAATGAATATAAACAGACAAAAGAGTATGGAGTTCCAAAGAAAGCATTTTAACCTTAGGAGGAACCTCCTTGTTTGGAGGCTTCAACTGTTTTTCTGCTACAAAAGTATTCCCCAACATAAGCTCATCCCTGCCTATGCATTACAAACATTAACAACCAGCATAATTAAGATAGATGCATTTAAAATGTCAATGTAATTTTAATTTATAAGTAAAAAACAAGAAATTTAGGACGCCCACTAGAGGAGCAGCTTTTCTTTTATCAGATACCAACACATCATCCCCAAAAGTACTGAACTTCTTCAAAAACAACAAATTGAATAGCACAAAGCAGATAAAAATTCTTACTTCCCCAAAAGTTATGAGATTCTTCAGAATATTGACAAATGTACTTGTCATATGCACCCAGAATTTGAGCACCGACACCCGTCGATCTAGACCCGTTCTGAGCCACTTCCAATGGCGTCAGCTTCTTACGGAACGCAGGATTCTCAACGGAGTACATGAAGCAGAAGCTCTGCCTCCGTTCCGGTATCGAAACCTTGAAGTACCATCCCTCGAAGAATTTCCGGCTCGTTCCATCGAAATGGTACCTAATTACACGATAAGTCAAAATAAAGAAGAAACATGTCACTCGATTTAGAAATCAAAGCCCAACATATGCATACATACCCGCTGTGAGGGGTTCGAAGGTCTCGATTTTGAGGTGTGGGGACGTATACGGGGTTCACAGAGCTCGCGGAGTCCTTGTCCTGTTGAGTTGTGGAAGAGGAAATGGAGGAATTAGTTCGGAGAAACCCTAGCTTGAGAGTCCTCAAGGAGCTGCGCTTTGAAGCTTGGAAGAGCAGAGGGTTTGCGGTTCGAAAGCCCGAGTTCGGAGAGAAATGGTGAGGTTCGCGCAGTGAAGAAGACAAGCTTGGTTCCATTGCGCTACTTGGAAATGGAAAAGAGGAGCAGAGAGAAGGTGAGGTGTGTGTGAGTGTGTTCAAGTGAAACGACGACAGCTGGATGAGAGGTGGCGGGTATTTTGGAATCAACACGAAACAAAAGTCAAATTGTCGTGGGGGATGCTGATGGGCCCGGTACTTGCAAAACCACGCCCAACTTACATGAACCCAAATTGGATTGAGAGTCACAAAGATTGGGCCGGAATCAAAAGCCCATATACATGAACTACGTCATTAGGAATAAGGATTCAATGAGTAATGTTCTCTTATCACACAGTTTGACACGTTATGTTAGTCTGCAACTTACATTATAAGAATTCATCTAACCAATCACTCAGATTGATAGTTTGACAACATAACATGTTATATTGACAATTTGACAACATAACATGTCAGACTATACGATAAGAGAACATTTCTTCAAAATAATACATGGGGATGCTACAAAAGTTGTAACTTTTAAATATAACCCATTGCATTTTATAACATATTTTGACAAAGCTTCTCATTGCATGAACAATTTCTAATACAACTCAAAGAAATTTTACTTGTGTTGGAGAAGTAATGTGGCGGAATTTAAGAAAGTCTCAGGCCATCAATAAGATTCGTCACATGTCTTGCTTTTGCTTTGAGCTGGGAAATCTTACGTTCAAGGAAAGGCTTTGAAGCCAAGATGATGCGAACGGCATGATGCAATAGTTTGCAGACAATTAGAACAAAACCCAGTTCAAGATTATGCTTCAGAATTGTTTCAAAGTAGAAAGAAAAAAGCAAGGAAATGTAGCACAAATCATTTATGAGAATTGATACGAGACCAAGGGAGAATGCAAGCAAGAGAGCCGTCAACATGACAGAGGTAACAAGAAGAAGAAAGCCGGCGATGAATGAGCCGTGGAGAAGAGCAAGTATGATAAGGTCTAGGTTGGGTTCCATCTGTGGGTGTAGTTGAAGAAAGTGGGAGAGAGATAAGGATGTAATGGCTGTTAAAGGAAGAAAGTTGAGCTTGAAGAAGAAATGAGAATGAAGTGACTTGCACTCATCCTATTGAAAGGGTACCTTTTTTCAACCTATGTGGAAGGCATTCAAGTTATATTGCTCAGTTATTTGGAGTGCAAGACATTCCATTTGAGCTCATTAAATGTCAAACTGCATAAAATGAGTAAGATTCATGGTTTTAAAAAAATGGGACAAGGTTTTGCAATCATTAAGGATCTTACTGTAATTGGAATAGCTTCAAGAGATCAAGGTTCCAAAGAGGCGTAACATACATTTGGAAAGGTGTTCATCCATGATCCTACAGCTCTGTCTGCAATTACTTGCGTGCTTGTTCCATGAATGGAAAACAAAAAGGAAAGAAAAACTCTAAATGAAAACGCTAACAGCAGGATTCAAACCTGATCAGTTTTCAAGTTTGGATTTTGGGGAAACAAATGCAAAATAACAAAGAAGAAGTGACTTAAAGCACCAACTTAATAATTCAATTTTTTACACATTACCACACCCAAAGAATACCTTAACCATGACAAAAGGCAAAATTAAGCTGATACTGACATGGACGACCCCTGGATCCTTCTAGGCTTTAGGATGAAGCATTAGCTCATCAAATAAATTTTCTCTTGGTAAACAGAGCAGCCTACAAAGGAAAATGGGCATTTCATACAACTACAAATAATCATTTTCACCCCTGATCTTAAAAGGGGAAAAGCATCTGATCTAACAACTGGGAAAAACGTTGTGGGAAAATTCTCAACCAATTTGTTGAATGACCCCACGAAACTGGTGAAGTGTTTGAACAGCCTGAGCGGGCATCAGCTGCAGTGAGGATTAGTAACCACAGGCAAAACTATCTGTGGTTCCGCATCAATCTATCCCGCACTGCAAAAAAAAAAATTTGCATGAAAAATATGCGTTTGTAAGAGAGAGAGCAATTATATGCAAGAAAGCTCAACTGCATTTCATTAGTTAACCAGGTGTTTTGACAACCAAATAAAATATTCATTGTAGCACTTAAATCAATCATTTTTAATTGAAAACCACCAGCTTATGTAGCCAAAAGTTATCCCCTTCACAATCCATGTTGGTAATTAGGTGGGAAAGTTCAGCTCTTTCACTGCTATAAGAAGTTACCCTCTAAGCAGCATTCATATGTGTGAGTATGTTGATATTTGTGCAACGTCTGGACTAGAAAATTGAAGACCAATGATTCATCAGAGTTCAGGTTATTTGAGAATCTCAGGAAGTATTCCCCATATCATTTCCTTGTTTTAAGCTCTGATGAGATCTACTCTTACATGTCAGGAGATTTTCTTTTCACTTTTAACTTTAGTTGACATCTGAACATCCCAGACTTTTTGCTGATAACATCTCCAGCTTAATATTTCTGAAAGAAAAAAGAGATTGACTATTTTATAGAAATGCAGATTTTAAAAAGATAACTTACCTTTGCCATCCACCTGGACTCCATTCACATCAAGAGTTTTGCTTAAGTGAGGCAATTACATCCAGGCTATCTTTCATGATCCATTTGTGAGGATAGAAGGTATTAGATGATTCATGGTGATGGTGCCAAACCATGATTGTTGAGCAATCATGCAGCAAACCTTCCATTTGACTTTCATCTTCGACAACTTGTTCAATAAATGTGCTCGCCTGGAAATGCAAATAAGTAAGTGAACTCTTTCGAGAGGGGGAATATTCCAATTCCAATTGAAATTGCTAAATGAGAGTTAGAAATTGAAGCCGGACCGTCATACCCGGTAATCAGTGACTATTTAGGTTTTCAGTGGGTGGAGTGTGGACTCTATTTCTCCAATACAAAAAATAAAAGGCTTAAACATTGAAGGGTGTGCTTAAATATGGTACAATTACAAATAAGTAATTTAGGAGGTTCAGGTCACTATATCAGTTTACTAAAAAATAGGCCACTTTGATCCAAGTCTACCAGTTGCTTTTGCTTTAAAGGTCACAGCAGCCATGCATATTATAATGTGGGGCACTATCATGGATGATGGATGATGGATGATGAGACAATATGGAACAAGAGACACCAACCTTGAAATCATCATTGCCTGTGTCAAGCTGCCTAATAGGTTCAAGGGTCGGTCGATGCCACCCTTTGGGGTCCCAGAGTATCGAACTATTGAAGGCAAATCCTGATATTTTAGCATGAAATCTCTGAAATCTTCTACTTGATTCATTTACATGCCATCCTATGACCTGAGTTCCATTACAAACCGCGCCCTCAATAATTGGTTTCATTTTGCCACTCAATAGTTTGGCCACTGTCCAGGTCCCAAACCGCCTGCAATTGAATTAAGGAAAAGGAAAAAAGAAGGGCATTGTCACCACAACATGCAGAATGCAATGTCAAACGAAGAACATTTACTACAGGGGCAAAGATGATGTTCTGTCTTACAACAATACTGCAGGCACCAAAAGTTTTTCCAAATTTTATTGTGCTGAATGCAATATTACTTTCTCTCATTGGATCTCCAGCAGGTTCTATGAGAAATGAACAGACTATATGCAGAGGATCTTCAGCAGAAAATGATATAAACGATGACATTACAATAAAAAGGTGTTCCTTGTGTACGAAGAGTTCTCAAGCTTACTTATCAAGAAGTTATGAAATCCAGCAAATGTAATTAAACCAAAGTTCTCTTATCTTCTCATGATGTATTGGTAGATGATGATGCAGAAAAAGGTGATATATCAACAACATTCCCTTAAAGTATAACACTAATAGTAGGAATTTAGTTTAGAAAAATGGAAATACCTGATCTGCCTCATTTGCTCGAAAAGATCAGTTGAGTAGACATTATCCTCATCTGCAAAGTGGACGATTCCATCAAGACGGTGAGTTTCAATGTGAGAAAGTGCAACATTTCTTTGATGAACACTTCTGTCTCTTACATCAGTAAGATTCTTATTGCAAACGAGATGCCTGTACATAATCCCAGTTCTCTTCAAGATGTCAGCTGTTTCTGCAGATTGGGAGGTCATCTCCACAACAATCCATAACAATGGAGGTGAGATTAATTTTAGCGTGTGTGCCAAACGATTCAGATTATAGGCTTGAAATGGCTGAGCATATGTTGGGGTCACAATTATCAAAAGCTTTCGGAACTCCAAATCTGATTCTTGGATGAGTAACCGGTTATCTACAGCTTTCTCTAGAATGCCATCTTTTGCCTCCCACTCCTTGACTTGCAACTCTGTCGTAACATTCTTCTTCCTTTTCACACTGTCGAATGGTGTGACATTTCTGTGTACACTATCATGCAACTGAAACCCAACTGAAGATATCATGTCAAAGGAGAAGTCTTGATGCTTCGACATGAGATTCATGGAGAAATTCATTGAGGCAAAGGGTGTAAGCCCAATGAATAGCCCAACAATGAAACAAATGAAGAAATGGGAAAGTGCCCTCCTCCAAATATGGCCCTTTGGTTTTGACTTCTCAAGGGGCCTAGAAGACCTTGGAGAAAAGACACTGAGAACAAAAGGGTCCAATGAAGCGGACAGAGACGATAACAATCCATTGGATGTTGGGTAGTTGTTGTGAGTACATGAGGACCTGGACAATGGAGAAGCAACTGAACAAGCTTCCCCATTTAGTGCAGTTCCTGCTCGAGGCACTGGAGACAATGTTCTTCTAATAGACGCCATCAAAACAAAATACAATTCGATCTAGCTGATTTCATACTCCACCTGCTTACGAACGCTATCACATGGGACAAAAACTTATCCTGATGTATCAAAACATCATTTTATTTCGCATTGAACATCATAACTACAATGTCCAAAGTAGTAAATTTGTTCTCTGTACGACCCTCGTCAAAAGCTTCATCTTTACTAACAATTACAGCAAAGTTGACCAGCAGAACAAGAAAATTACCAAACTAGTGTGTGGGCATTTCATATGAAACTAATCCCAACCTCCAATCAATGCAAAGCCTCAATCTGATTTACTTATTACCCATATAAACTCCCAAAACCAGCTGAAAAAATTTGCAGCATTTCACCTCAAAGTGAAGTTCTTGATCTACAGTGAAAGAGCCAGAAACCAAGGAACCGCACCCAATCACACACCAACAATATGACTAAAAAGATACAAGCTTTGGGCCCAAAACAATGAGATGCCAGATGAAATGTGCAAAATTCGCATTGAAACCAAATGGGTCACTGCATTACCGTTCAATGGCAAATGGGTCTTCGATCTTTGACACCCAGAAGTGAGAAAACCAGCAAGGCAGCAGCAAGCTCCACTTTGTTCAAGCTGGACAGACAAAACGTCGACGTTGAAGAAGCAGAGAGTAAAGACGTCTATGGAGGAGGAAGTAGCGATGCCAGGAGTGTAGGAATCTCTAAGAGATCATATCAAGTGACAGCACCCATTCTCTCTCTCTCTCTCTCTCATGTAGATTCAGACACAAAAAAATACTGTTTTTTTTCTTCTTTCTATTTTTTTGGGGTGAGAGAAAAACAGTGCCTTTTTTTGGCTTGCGTGACCGACGGCATCCAATAATCCATCTGTTTAAAGGGAAAAAAAAATAAAAAAATTAGTACGTACAATTAATGGAGGAAAAACTCATTTATACCCCTTATTTTCTTTTGTTTTTTTGTTAATTTATGTTGTTTTGTTTTGTTTTTCTGTGTATAGTAAGAAGAGGGGGCAAGTGCAATTTGGGCATGTTATTCAGATTCACTGCATTATTTGTTTTATTTTTGCGTTTTTGAGGGGTCATTTTAATTAGGTCCCACTTGCTCTAAGATTATAGAGATTATCCATTTATGTCTTGCCAAGTTGACGACAACTTAATAATAGCTCCTATTTATTTGTTGCTTGTCACTATACTTCAAATTAGTAGATTAACTAGTAGAAAATGACCTTAATTTGCAAATCAGTGATTTCAGGTTCGAATATTATGGCACCTTAATAGTATGTGTGAGAAATTCTCTCCCCTTTTAGTTTAAACTATCGTTTGTACTCAAAAAAGTTTTCACCAAAAATGTAAACAGATTTTAAATTCATTAACCAAAAAAGTTAAGAACTTGAGTTTATTAGGGAAAATAATATTTAGAATGTGACTACCTAGTTTTCATTTACTCGCATTATTGTTAGGTTAGGGAAGTAGACAAGAAATTAGATGAGTGGAGGCAAGTTCCTTTACTCGCCCCTTTTGTAGATCCTTTCATGCAAGTCACATGCTCATATCTAATGAAAATTTGAGGAAAATATCATATAATTAAATAATTATAATTTTTTTTTTGGTAATACAAATCATTATAAGTTTTTTTTTGGTAATACAAATAATTATAAGTTTGAATGATTAATTTTAAAATATTTTAATTTTGATGGTAAATGCACAAATCACCTTAGTGAATAGATAACTGTACGTACTAAATTGTTTTTTTTTTGGGTACAAATATAGTAAACTTGATAATTCTTTTTTTTTCTTTTCATAAAAGTTAATATATTAATCTCGTATTATTATAACAACTCATTGTCAACGGTCAGCTGACCATCGGCCACAAGAAATAAGAACAGTCAACTAAGGATCTCTAAAATTCATGAGGACGCCATCTATTAAGCAAAATAAAAACAGTCCCCTTCTAATAATGGATTACTTTTCCCTTTTATTAAGCAAAATATATATAGGGCATAATTAAAATGTTAAATTAAGAAGAACTAAAATCTAAATTGTAAAAGAATTATAAATTAATTAATTAAATAAGAAAAATACTCGATTGTTTGCCTTGAAGGAGCAATTCCTTCCTCCTTAACTAAAAAAAAAATTTCACAATTTCATACATGCGCAGAAAAGTTTCCTTTATCAATGAATATTTCTATAAGTTGTATGTAATTTACAAATAAAGAGAGAAGTCAAACAAAATTCCTTATTAAAAAAGTGTATATATGGAGAATGAGATCGAACTCGGATGTAAAAAGGCGGATACACTCAGGCCTAGTTTGGGATTGCTGCCACTTTTAAAAAAAAGTTGATTCTGCTGTGCTTTGAAAATAATTAGCTGTAAAGTAAAGCAGCTCCATGTTTGGTAAACAATATTTTTAAAGTGCTGTTAGTACAAAAAGCAATATAAAAAACGTTTGGTAAATTTTAATATAAAATTGTTGTAACTGTGAATAATGACTAAAATAGACATGATGTTAAAAGTGTTATGTACTAATCATGTGGTGGTAGTTGTAGTGATGGAGTGGAGGTGGTGGTGGGGATGGCGGTTGTGGAGGTGGTGGTGGTGGCAGTGGCAGCATGGTGGTGGTGGTGGTGGTAGTGGTGTTGGTTGTGGAGGTTGTGGTGGATTTGGAGGGTTTGGAGGAGGAGGAGGTGGTGGTGGTGGTGGTGGTGGTGATGGTGGTAGTGGTGGAGGAGGTGGTGGATGAGGTGGTGGTGGCAGAGGATGAGGATGTGGTGGTGGTGGTGGTGGTGTTAGTGGTGGTGATGTTGGTTGTGAAGGTGGTGGTGGATTTGGAGGTTTTGGAGGAGGTGGTGGTTGTGGTGGTGGTGGTGGTGGTGGTGGTGGTGGAGGAGGTGGAGGAGGTTGTGGTTGTGGTGGTGGTGGTGGTGGCGGTGGTTGTGGAGGTAGTGAAT